CATGTGTTAGCTCCTTGAAGTACATGCTAATTCCTATTTGTTGAATAAGTGAGAGACGGATGATTGGATGGAGATAGAAGGATGGCCAGATGGGGGGGTGAACAAATGGATGCACGGACGGATGGCTAAGTGGATGGGTGGTTGGATAGATGAATCAATGGGTGGAGGGATGGATACATGAATGGGTAAGTACATGAAAGAATATATAGATGGGTAGGTGGGTGGGTTTAGAAGGCTTTCTCATATGTAATATATTGTTATGGTCAAATAAGCTATCTGGAGACAGCATTTCAGTTATGATTATAATGGGCATTATCCATAATATCTATTTGTTCACCAGTACCTGTAGTTTAGAGTCTAAAACACAAAGGATTCTTAATAGGTATTTTTTTTTTTGAATGACTGAAAAAACCGACAGGAACCATGCAGCTAAAAATACAGAGTGTCACAGCCTTTGCAAAGGACCCATCTGAGAGGTTTATGTTGACAGACTGGTGAGATGGATGGGATATGTCACGGTTCCGAGTCTGTTTCCCCAAGGGAAGAAGTGGTTACACAGGACACAAGTTCTACTAGGGCCTGTTGGAACGTTTGGGTGGAAGTTGTCAAAAACATTTCTCAGAGCTGTTTTCTTCTCTGTATTTGAAGATCAGCCTGGTAGCAAATATGAAGGATCTGTAGGGGCAGCTCTGTTGACCCTTGTGGTGTTAGAATATTTTCTTTGCTTATTAAGTGAATGACTTCTATCCAAAATCAGGTCTGTCACTACAACTTCCATTGAATCTGCAAAGGCATTGGATTATACTTGCTCTTTTATATTGTGAAAGCATATTTTTAGTGACAGTTTATCTACATTGTTGTGTTCACAATCCCTAAATAGGACAGTGAAATAAAGGAATCAGAAATATCATAACACCCAAACCTTTGTCTCCTGAATTCCATTCTAGATCTTTCTTGAAAACTGAAGTCAGAGGAAGTAGAATAAAAGATCATGGCCATATTTCTGGCCATAGCTGAGGCTGGTTTCAGATGGATGGTCGGTGGGTCAGAGTTAACTGTGTTTATCTCTGTGAGGTCTGTGGGTCTCCAATGGTGAGCAACATAATGTTAGTCAAACTGTTACGGAGTAATAATTATATGAAGTCACATACTGTGATTTCATGGGTGTTATCACTTGGGGTGAGGTCATAGTGTTAGCATATGTTAAAAATGAGTCGACTTAAAGACAACAGTAGGTAGGGGCGCCTGGGTGGAAAGACAACAGTAAGTAGGGGCGCCTGGGTGGCTTAGTCGTTAAGTGTCTACCTTCAGCTCAGGTCGTGATCCCAGGGTCCTGGGATCGGGCACCAAATCGGGCTCCCTGCTTGACGGGAAGCCTGCTTCTCCCTCTCACGCTCCTCCTGCTTGTGTTCCCTCTCTCGCTGTGTCTTTCTCTGTCAAATAAATAAATAAAATCTTCAAAAAAAAAAAAAAGACAACAGTAGGTAAATAGTAGAACAGCTGTATGCAGCTAGAGCTGAACTGGTAATGGAGAGAGCTCCCATTTAGTGAGTTATGTGTTGGGCATGGTTCTAAGTGTCTTACATTATGTAACTCATTGAATCCTCCCAACAGCTCAGTGAATTAGGCACCCCTGAGGCTTGGTGAAGTTAAACACAGCCAGTACTGAGCTGAGACAGAATTTGAATGCAGGCAATCTGACTCAAGAGTATGAGCTCTAATCTCTGCCCATTACCACCTCTCAAACAGAAAATAAAATAATAACACAGACAATAAAAACAAAGCCCCATTTTGCCTGGTAACCTGAGACCCAGCTCCACACATTGGTGCACTATGGGAACCTGACTGGGCCTCTGTTTTCATATCTCTAAAATGGGATCAGGCATTCTGATGAGGGAGAGGCATTCTCTGAGGCAATGTGTATTGGTCCAGATTTGCCACATGACCTTGAGCCAACCCCCCCCCCTTTCTGGGGGTTTGGCTTCCATGACAGTCTCCCCAGTGTCACCCATGGCTCTGTTTTGTGGAATCCAACCCTCTGCTGGCAACCTCAAGGCCCAAGGGCACCCACTTTTTTACATCCCAAGTCGAGCAGAGCCTCGCCCGACAGCCTGAGCTGTTGGGGCTGAATCCCAATGGCACCAGAATATCCCTGAACAATTAAGCGAGAGGGTGACACAATCAGATTGGGTTTTGAGGAGGTTTCCTCTGGCTGCTGGGTGGGGAACAGATTGGAGGCCAGCCAGGGTGGAATGGGAGAGAACAGGAAAGCCATCGTCACAGACGTCCAGGCAAGAGATGGCTTGGGCCACAGAGCTATGACAGATGCCAGTGGAGTCAGAGAAGACTTAAAGGTAAATTCGGGAGAGATTTTGTGTTCAAGTAGAAGCTGGCTATGCGAGGAAATGCTGAGATTTCCAGCTTGCTGCCTGGGAAGATGGTGGTACCCTTCACCCGTGGGAGGCTTGGCTGGGAATCCTTCCCTCCACAGTGCATTTTAGAGAGGCCTGGCATCTACCTTCTTTTCCTTAATATGGAGGAAGAACCGTCCAAGGACACAGTTAACTGCTCCATCCCTCACCACTAGTAGTTATCCTCCACAGAGCATAATGGGCTCCTGCTGGGGCTTAATGTGGTCATTCCTCTTGCAGGGGGAGAAAGCCTCCACTCACTGTCTTAGGACACACACGGTGCAAATTGACTCAAGAGGCTCTAGAGGGAAGGGAGCTGGGGCTCCTCCAGGAGACTGGTCTATGCAGTCACTTTCCTGAAGGAGGCTCTGAGCTCCCTAAAGCAAGTGTGGTGTTCCCCTGACCCCCAGTGGCCCCTGGCAGTGTAGAAAGGGGCAGTGAAGGAGGTGTAGGGGGGTCCTAGGAGGGGAGGTGCTCACAAGCCTTTTTACACCTCAGCGGTGGTATAGGGCTTGCTGCAAATCCACTGTTTGCTCTCATGGTTTGAAAGAAAAGGACAACAAAGTCAATTCTGAAAAAGAAGAAAGAGGTCTGATCAGAAGGGTAGCCAGTTGGATAGTAGAGTGAATTATGGCTCAGCCCGGGTCAGGACTTAGTTTGTGTATCTGCACGCAAGAGCAGGCTACAGTTGCTGCCACACACAGTTTGTCCACGGAAGCCCAGGCAGGAGTAGGCCACCTTGTCCTGGTGGGTCTGACCTCATGGCCCCAGTGTGGACCGGGGGATGCCTGTCCTGCTCCTGACACAGCCCCTTGTTTCTTGGGTTCCAGGTGTCCTGGAGATAGGTATCCCCAGTTCTGGCTCCTGCAGTAGTTGAGAAAGAGCTCCAAGGTGGCCCCTAGGGCCACTGTAGCCTAAGGCTCAGTTTCTCTACTCCTGATATCCCCTACCCTGGCCATGCTTCTCCCTGCGGTAAGAACAGTGTCCCTGCCCACATGAGGCCTGGGCTAACATTGGCCCAGCCACTCCAGCAATTGGACGCTCCCTCCTCTCCTCCAGTCTGTCCATCCATCCATCCATCCATCCATCCATCCATCCATTATTCCTGCACCTCGTTGTGGGATTCCCAGAGGGCAGAAATAAGTATTTGATTAGAATTTAATAAGACCGGGGTACCTGGGTGGCACAGTTGGTTGACTATCTGACTCTTGGTTCAGCTCAGGTCGTGAGATTGAGCCCCGCATCAGGCTCCGCGCTCAGCATGGAGTCTGCTTGAGATGCTCTCTCCCTCTGCTCCTCCTGCTCGTGCTTACTCTCTCTCTCTCAAATAAATAAACAGAATTTTTTTAAAAAAAGAATTTAATAAGACCAAATGCCTGGATTTTGAGCATGAGCAGAAATTTTGTGAGAAGTTGTCTGGGACCACATTGCCCATGGCAGGAGAGAGCTATTGAAGGTTTCCAAGTAGGAGAGGAGCGTGGCCTGATGCCTGTTGTGAAGCAACCACTCTGCTGGGTGGAGAGGGAGACCCGGAGCAGGGAGCAGAGCAAGGAGGTGGTTGTCATGGGGTTAGAGCCTCCTCCGTGGGGATAGTTTTGAAGTCAGAGAAAGGAGGGTTCTTCTACTCCAGGTTGGTTTGTCACATGCTGCTTCTCCTGGAAACTTCCCTGTGCTGTCACAGAGCTCCTTCTCCTCCTGCTCACAGCCTCAGAGAAGTCCTCTCTGACCTGTCCAAACAGTTCCCCCTTATTATTCCTTCTTCTCCTTCACGTATCATAATTTATGCTCATATATTCATGGTTCCTTTTTTGAAACAGGGACCGTGTCTGCTTTATTTGCCACTGTGTTACCCTCTGCCTATCTCTATGCCTGGCGTAAAGCAGGCAATCAATAAACATGTATTGAATAAGTGTGGTTAATTAATTAATGGCAATGCCTAGGTCATAGTCATAGTTGTATACATATGAGTTTGTTATCTCACCTGTGCAAGCATTGATCCTCACAGCACCAGCCAAGAAAATGAAATAGGTATCATTATCCCCCAAGGTGGAAACTGATACCCTGAGTTGTGTCTTGTCCATGATCTAGCTGATGACAAGGCAGGGACCAGGGTCTAGAATGCACATCCTGGAGCGTACTGCATCACTGCATCCCTCATTCAGGCCCAGAGGACATGGCCACCTTGGGAACGGACTCTGCTGCCTGACCAGGCCAGTCCAGACTGCCGGACCAATCAGATTGAACATCTCTTGCCCTCACAGTAATTATTTGTACCCTCCAGCATCACAGCCTGCCTCGTATCTAACAGAGAGACAGGTCTGTCTTAGCATGTGTAAGGGCACTTAGGCAGCAAAGAGCATGGTACATTCAGGGAACTACGAAGAGGCCAGGATGGCTGGAGTGGGAGCATGTAGGGACAGTTGGGCTTGTGTCTTACTCAGTTCTAGGTCCCCATGGAGGGCAGGCATGGAGCTTTGCACACGGAGCACTCGTTAATGGCTTGTGGCATTAATAGGGCCCCTGGTGTATTCACTTTGCCTTTGCTAGACAAGGAGCTCTGACCCTCTCTTTCCTCTGCTCTGACCCCAGCGCCTACACAGAACCTTATAAGGTCTGCCCCATCTCGGCGGCAGCCCCCAAAGAGGACCTATCATCGGATGAAGAACAGGGAAGCTCGGAGGAGGAGGAGAGTGTTCCAAGAGACCCCAGCCTCACCCACAAGGTAGGGTGCCCCGCCGTGGGCAAGGGCCCAGTGGGTTGTGGGGAGTCAGAGACGTACAGGCCGAGAAAGGACGGTGATGACCAGCGTACCCCCTGTTGGTGAGGAGGGAGCTATTTCCCAACGGCTGGCCCCAGGTTGGATACAGAGGCCGAGTCATGGCACAGCTGAGGCTGCAGCGGTAAGAAGCATGAGGAGACACGGGGCCCTGCACTGGTGATGCGGGGTGAATGCTCCTGCTGACTTCTGGGTCTCAGGAAGTTTGGGGCTTCCCAGAGCCCTTGGGGATGAAGTGAAATAGAATTGGTTTGGATCAAGACAGACCTGGATTCTAATAACCTCAGGCATCTGGACCTCAGTTTCCTCATCTGTGAAGTGGGGTGGGAATCATGAGGACAGTTAAGGGAAGTGTGTGAGTTTCATTAACTGAAGGCAGTTTTGGAATGAAAGTTGGTTTCCCATACCCTGCGGTGGTGCTTAGGGGCTGAGAGAAGAGCTGTTGTTTGTCTGGAGGCAGACGGTGAGTTGGGTCCCTGGTGTAGGGACCAAGTCACAGTGGCAGCCCAGACCTCTTAGTGGGCACTGGGGCATGGTGATAATTATATATGCTCGCCTAGGGTGCATGGGAGCCTGTGCCTCACTTCCACTCGCTGGCTTATTGTAGTCCTTCCACACACTGCTTCTTGGAGCTTGGGTTTGTCCCGAAACAGAGAAGTGAAGAACTTGCCCAGGATCATACAGCTGTTACTCCGTGTCATCCAGCAAACACCATGAGGTGCTGGGGGCCAGGAATTTAGACCCCGAGGGACACCCCAGCTGCAGGGAGACAGGCTAGGAAGGTTGAGACCAGCTTGACATTTCCCCCACCCCATCTTCTGGGCCCCACCTGTCTGCAGAGGAGTAGCTGGGGAGGCCAAGGAGCATCACCTCCTACCTGACTAGCCTCCTTCGGGCACCTCATCTGGTGTCTGTCTCCCACTCTTTGTCATCCTCTCCTTCCAAGGCTGGCATAGGCATATCACGTTGATTAAAGACTGCTCCTGTGAAGCGCTCAGCAGAAGTGCCTGGCACTTGCCAAGCTTTGTCTAAATGGTCAGGTCTTTCATTTTGTTTTCATACCCTTGATTTCAGTTCATTTATCTCTCTGCTCAGGGTCTTCATAAAGTCCCCCCCCCCCCAGGGCTGTGGGAATGCTGAAAGGGGTTTTCCCACCCAGCTCCTCTTCAGTCCTTCGCCCGTGTGGCTTCTGACCCTTCCTCTCCGTCTCTGGATAGAGTGTATTGTCTTCCGCAATCCATGCCTCTTTCACTCCTTGCAACCAGTTCAAGGTCAATACCACCACCCCTGTGGTGTGGTGGTGGACACAGAAATTAAGTAAATTGCCCAAGGCCACTCTGCTAGTGACTGAAGGGGTTGGACTCAAAACCAGGTCTGGCTGGCTCCAAGCCCTGTGTTTGTTTGTTTGTTTTCCCCCTGTAGCCCTGGAAGACTTCTCTTACCTCTCCACTTCTTGTCCTCTCCCCCAAAAGAACTGTTGCCTCCTTGAGGGCAAGGGAAAGGAGCTTTGAGTTAGTGGTGCCAGTTAGAGATGATTGTGGCTTTTCTGGGCATCCCCTGGAGTCGTGGAGCCTGGGAGCAAAAAGATAGTTGCTATTTGGGATTTGGTCCCCACTCTGAAGTTGGGATTTGGTCCCCACTCTGAAGTTGGGAATTGGGTCTGGGTACCAGGCCAGGAAGAGTTGAAGGGCTGACAGAGCAGTGGGGCATACTTTCTGTATCTCAAGGTCCCCCACCTGGTGCTGGTTCCCCACCATAGCACCAGGTTCTCTGTTAAACCTTCCTCTGGGACCACCTGCATCTCCTCCTCCAGCTGTGTAACCACTGGCCAGTCACTTCCCATTATAGGACCTCAACTTCCCCATCTGTAAAATGAGAACATGAATAGTAACTGGGCTGGGGGAGGGTTGAATGAGGGCACTGATATAAAAGTGCCAGCACATAGTAGGGGCATAATAACTATCTGTTGTTCCTGTCTGGGAGGCAGAGAGGGAGAAGGGAGGGTCCTATTTGCTCAGGACCATTGCAAAGACATGAAGTCCTAGGGCCCTGGACATTGGTGGTCATCTGGTTCAGTTTCCCAGCCTTGTGATCTCCAGGCCGCTGCATGGACATCCCCAGGAGCTTGCAGGAGGTGGGGTAGCATAGGGAATGAGAGGTTCAAACTCAGCTTTGACGCTTGCTAGCTGAGTCACTAGCAAATGGACAATTTCTTAAGCACTCTGTTCCTCCGTTTCCCCTTCTGTGAGACTGGGAAAACAATAGTGGTGCCTACTTCACAGTAGTTCTGAGAATAAATAAATATGAGGAGACGAATGCCTGGCATGCAGTAAAACACACAAAGGTCAGAGTGGGTGGGACCGTGGTAGGACAGGGAAGCACCCTGCACAGGGTCCAGTCAAGCTCAGTGATAACGGCAGGGTTGCAGAACTGAAGCAGCTCCTGCCTGGGACAGGGACCCCTTATGTGCCCTGGAACCAGAGCTACAGAGAACCAATCAGTGGCCAGCCAAAGGCAGGGCCCGCTAGCATTCTGTCACTGAGAGCACAGACGGAGAAGCGTGGGTGTAGACTCCTCGTGGCTGGTCAGTTCGCCCTTGGGAGCCCAGCCTTCTCACCTAGCAGATGTACTGAGCATCCCTTCCCTTCTGCCCTCGAGGCTTTCATAATGAACCACAGTGGCAATCACCTTTAAAAATCAAGTTTTCGTTGCATGAGGTATGCTCTGCTGGATTCTCCTCATAAAGTGTGAAGTCATTACAGGTGAGGGTTAGATGCCCTGGGGTACTCATTCCTAGTTCCTGTGTCCCCAAGGAGGTAGCTGTGGTATGCAGTTTGGTGTGTATCTTCCAGAACCTTTTCCCTGTATTCACCTATGTGTATCATTCAGTATGAGTGGAAAATGGATTAGGTATTCTTTGTGGAGTCGTTGTTTACATATGTTGAATCATATCAAACTGTAAGAAACCTGGGTAACTTGGTTGCATTCACTCACTGGTATCTTACAGAGATTTTTGCATATTGCTACATAGCGTTCTGATTTTTTTTTAACTGCTGTATGGTATTCCCATTTATGGGTGTGCTGTCCTTTGTTTTGCTATCCCCCTGCTGAGGGACCTTTACAGTGTTTCTAATTTTTAGGCTCTACCAACAGTATTACATTGTACTTGTTCACACACCTCCATATGCACATGCTTCTCTCTAGGGTAGATCTCACAAGGGGATTGGTGGCTCAGAGAGGCGCATTTTCAGGCTTCGTACCTGCTGCCACAGTGACCCCCAAGAGGCCGTGACAGTGCACCTCCTCCTGGCAGCCCTCAGTGTGGGAGAGTTCGCCAACTGCCGGGCCATGTGCAGCTGTGAAGGGAGATTTTTCTTTCCTGGCTCCTTCTTGGAGGAGGAGGGAGGGAGGGAGCAATCTTTCCTGGCTCCTTCTTGCTGTAGAAGTTTGGGTGGTCGGGGGGGTGGGGAGAAGGAGCATTCACTCCTCATTCTTTCATCTTCCACCGTCTCTGAAAAGTCTACTTCCCCAGAAGGCAAAGACCTCTCCCGCTCTGTGCCTCCGCCACATGGAGCAGGGAAAAGGAGCCAGATTTCCCATTTCCAGCCACCTCCAAGGAGCAGACCTAGGGAAAGTGTGAATGATAGTGGAATTGCTTTCCCGGGGCCTCAGAAGGTGTGTTTGGGGTGAGCCCCACGCTTCCTAGAGTTTGATGTAAAAACAGATGTGAGGTGGTGAGCTTCAGTCTTCCCGATGTTTTGAGGTGGCTGCATCAGAGAGAGACTTGGAGCAGGACCGGAAGCTGAACCCAGCTGTCCACCTGCCTGTCTGAGACAGGTGAGACTTCTCCCTCTCTTCCACTCAGAGATATTCAGGGGGTGTGGGTTAAAGGAAAGAGGGGGCAAAAAAAGAAAAGCAAGAAGGACATAAAAACAGATCCAGCTGTGAAAGGAGACAAAGGCTGTCTTGGCATGTCACTCCTCCCTGACAGCAAGCCCAGTTTTCAGACTAACCGAGACTTTTCAAGCTAAATACCAGCTCCCTGTAGACCAGCCCAGGAGTTCGTGACCTCTCTGAGCCACCTTGTCCCTCCACCTCCTCCTCCCTTTGTCTGAGTCCTGTTGTCACCACGTTTCCCCGACGGGTCCACCCTCGAGCACAGGCCGAAGTTTGCCCTGTCCTCTGGAACAGGCCTGTCCTGCCATGATGTCCTCCCGGGCCCCACCCAGACAGGTCCTCTTTTCCCTGGCTGCATGCATGGTCCAGGCGGCCTGGTCTGGGCCTTCTTGCTGGCCTCATGCCCCCAGGCCTTGCACCCGCCACCTTGCCCTAACGATCTGCTTGAACCCTGGTTATTTCCACTAGACCAGTCCCCCACCTGGCTGAAATGTCGACACATGCTTTCTCCATGCCAGTCTTCTCAACCATTTTGCAGCCCTGAACATTGGCTCCATGGCATGTGCTCACTCCTCCTAGTCCCTGGGAGGCCCTCCTAAGCCTGCAGGCTGCAGCCTGTTCCTTCCCAGAAAACAACCTTGTCCCCTGGCAAACATGAACTCCCTCCCTTCTGCACCTTCTCTCTGTATCCTCACTCAGTTTCTCCCCGTCCCTCTTCTCAGCAGAAATTTATTTACTAAGTACTCACTGAGCACCTACTATGTGCCAGGCACCCTTCTAAGGGCTTAAGATACAATAGCCATAAGACAGACCAGGTGCCTCCCTGCCCTGGTGGAGTTTCTACTCGAGTGAAGGAGATGTTCAGTTAGAAGGCTCCTCAGGTGGGTTTAGGCAGTGAAAGTGCTAGAGCATCAAACACACAGAACAAACCTTGGTGGTGGGAGCAGGGCGCCAGGGGTGGGACGAGGGGGGAAATTTGGGCGGAGAGGCTAGAGAAGGCTTTTTTTCCAATTAAAAAATTTGTGTTAAAATACACATAACATAAAAAC